GGGGGGTTTGGGGGCTGAGCCCCCATCTAACGAGMGGTCCGGAGGACCTCGAGTTTGGCGACCGGAGCCGGTAGGCGAAGGGAGCCACTATACTTGATAATTTTGTTATTTAACAGTAAGCTCTGTTTTAAAAAAAGAAGATATGTTAATAATAAATATCACTACAATGGTAAAATCTTCTTTTTTTAAAAAAAAAGTGCAAAAAAAATTTTGGGTGTGACGGGTATCGATCTCTTGATACCATGGTGATACCATTGCGTTGTTACCATTGCGCCATCATTGAACACCACTATCARATGGTATTATAGGTATTTAAGGGCTATTATATTATGTTAAAACTTCAATTAGTTATAACTACGAAACTAACTTCGTGCGCCAAATTCTGATTTCACTAACGTTTTTTTCAGCCAAAAAATGACTGAGTCCACCAAAAAAATGGCTAAAAAAAGGGGTGTCCGGTAATGTATAAAAGTTCCTATATTTTCAGTTAAAATTATACAATTGGTTGCATAATTCATTTCTTTTTTGTGATCCTTCTTGTGTAACATAGGCATTCCTTGGGACAAATCGTTCATATGTATCAGCATCAAAATCATCATTTACAGTCATACATAATATATTATGTAGACAACAAGCTGCTTTTACAATAAGTCCACAATATGATTTATCATAAACATCAAGTTTTCTAAAACCATCATAGTATGAAGTAATGAGTACTTATTTTATAATAATAATCTTAAGTATTGTACATTAAAATGCTTTACTTCAATTTACGGAATCGTCCAACCAGTTTTCCAAATGCTTGTTCCACAACAATTCTGAAACTACTCAACTTTTGATTGAAATGTATTTGAGCAGGTGTCAAGTGACCAATATTCTTATAAGGTATTAATAGAGCTTCAGTTAGAGGATAAGCTCCATCACCARTCACATGGCTACCTTCTGGTATAATTGTYCAGGGATCATCTAAAAGTTTTTGCCCAACACCACTTCTTCTATAAACTCGTGCATCGTGCGATGATCCAGGCCAGCCAGCGAATACATCAGTAAACATATATTGTGAATCCACAATACCCTTGTTCATTAATAAAAAGTATCAAATGAGGAATATGACTAATTAGTAATTACATGTATTGGGATTAGTAGTATTTTATTTAGCACATAATATTTTTATACCTGTAAAACTATTGAAGCCACTTGTTTTCGGTTTACAAACATAGTACCATCTAGTTTTGGCATTTTTTTCCGGCCAACCCAAGGTGCGAGAATTTTAATATGGCACCCATCAATAGCTCCAATTACATTTGGTAGTGCCCCTGGCCTTAATGAGTTAAATTTTTCGATTGTCCAATAGGCCATTTAATAAATTTATAAGAAATCATGTTTAACTTAGTTAAAATACTTTTAATTATTGAATGGCTTGTGCTTTCAGCAACATCAAATCTGTTAGCTAACTGCCTGAAAGATAATTGATAGATAAAATATAGTACATTTTTTTTAACTACTCATTAAAACTATTATGCAAAAAGTTATTCTGAATTGATTGTCACAACATCCGAATTTCTTCCACCAGTCACCACTCACCACAGTGGACTGTTGACTGTTGGAAAAATTCACCGGTTACACATTCCGAATTTCTTGCATAGTAATTTTAATCAGCGTAATAATAATCAAAACAGGATATCGCCAAATAACGCAGGATGTTATATCTGTCAATCTGTGGCGGCACGAATCATTTCGCACGAGATTGTAGGCAGGCAGGTCAAAATCCTAGACAAAACAATAATATATATAGACCACAAATTCCAAATTTCAATCCGCGTAGAAGTAACAATAGTAATAATAACGTGGAACCACTGAGTTGCACATATTTCAATAAAAGGGGACACGAAATTTCGAGTTGTTACACAAAACAGCGAAACGATAGGAATAACGCAAATTCGTCGGGAAACGCTCAGATACCAACCTCGAGTGGGGTGAGATTGGTACRTCAAATAATCGATTCAGAACCCTCACAGAACGATGTTTACGCATTTCAACAGCTATAGTTCAAAATCATATAATATTACAATCACCTAGTTTTAATACAGAAAATGTTCAATTACTATTAGACACGGGTAGCGATTTAAATTTAATAAAAATAAATAAATTAACTGGTAACACGATAATAAATGAAAATGAAAAAATTTATCTAAAAGGCATAAACGAAAAAATAGTTCCTACAATTGGACGCACAATAATCACATTGATAATAGATATAAACGAATTTAAAGCCGACTTTTTTGTAGTAGATAAACAATTTCCGGTTGATAAAGACGGGATACTAGGACAGAAATTTCTGATAGAAAATAACGCTGTAATAGATATCGCAAATAGTACATTATCACTCAGAAAAATACTTACCAATATTAATGAAAAATGTATATAAAACTAAGGAAAAACGGGTATGATTTGGAGCCTATGATATTGAGTCTTAGAAATATAGTATAATATATTTTATATTAAAGCTAAACAAATTTTGTTGAATCAATGTTTTATTTCATTAATTGTAAATCAATAATCCATAAATTTAATTACTCTGGGATTAAACTGATGGAAATGTATGTGCATTAATTTAAAGATAAAAAGTTATRACTGTATTTAATTTAAAGAAAACYTTCTTGAAATTGATTTCTCAACAAAATAAAAACAAGGAAACTCATGCATTGATTTTATGTTACAATTTCTTATTTTTAAAGATTATTGGGATTAAATCAATTTGTCTTATATATAAACAAATAATGAACTGTAAGCATTGTTTTTATGCTATTTTTCCTTATTTAAAAAAAATTCTTGATTTTAAAACAAATTACTTTTTTTTCWTAAAAACTATGATTTCTTCTTTGAAAATTATAATAAAATAATATATTATAGTAAAAGTTAAGTTTTTATTGTTTTGAAGTAAATTATTACCTAATACGATTTATAAACAAGGTATTGTTATTTAAACAAAATGCTTAATGTAAGTTCTAAAGTTACTTATCGGATTATAGATAAATAAAATAAAAATATAGATACATTGTTTAAAAATAAATCATTTGAACAATTTATTGTTATTCAAGCATAATATTAAATATAATATACAATATAAG